TCAGAGTCGACCGCCGCTACCCCTCTCGTCATATTCTTCCCGGAGCGACGCTTAGTTCTAATTTACCCCCGCGCGCGGCTCGAAAACAGGGGTACGTTCGCTCCGTCTTATTTTTTCCCCCTCTCACCTTACGTGGAGTTATGCATTCGTCGCTGCGAAGGCGACCCACTTGATTAAATTTCGATGATCAACTCTAAATAATTAACCCCGAGAAGCTCCCCGCAAGTCGACCGCCGCAAAAAAACAGCACTGAAAAAAAAAAAAAAACACTGGATCTAGTGTCCAGACTCTTGAAAACATTGACAAGAAAAAATACTCTTAATTCAATCAGATTTAAGCTTAAATCAAAAGGAAATCCGCTCAAATTAAGAGGCTTGGTTCTTGATTTAAGCTTAAATCTGATTGAATCAGGAGTATTTTTTCTTGCCGATGTTTTTAAGAGTCTGGACTCTAGATCAATGTGTTTTTCTTCGAGCGTGGGACGAATCTAATTATTCTTAGATTATCTACAAAAATGAAGCATCAAAACACGATTCTGTGACTAGCGCAACTGACACTGGAAAAAAACACTTTGGATCTAGAATCCAGACTCTTGAAAACATTGACAAGAAAAAATACTCAATTGATTCAATCGGATTTTTGCTTGAATCAAAACGAAATCCGCTTAAATTAAGAGGCTTGGTTCTTGATTTAAGCTAGATTCTGATTTAAGCTAGATTCTAATTTAAGCTAGATTCTGATTGAATCAAGAGTATTTTTTCTTGTGGATGTTTTTAAGAGTCTGGACTCTGGATCCAATGTGTTTTTTTTTTTTCCATAGTGAGGGACCGGGGCTGAGGTCGGGGGCTCTTTGAGAGAGGGGGGAGGAATGACCGTCGCTATCCCTCTCGTCATATTCCTCCCGGAGCGACGCTTAGTTCTAATTTTCCCCCGCGCGCGGCTCGAAAACAGGGGTACGTTCGCTCCGTCTTACTTTTCCCCCTCTCATCTAACGTGGAGTTATGCATTCGTTGTTCCGGAGGCGACCCACTTAATTAAATTTCGATGATCAACTCTAAATAATTAACCCCGAGAAGCTCCCCGGAAGTCGTTTCAATTGAATTTATTTCCGGATTCGAATTTCGTTTGAAATTTCCGGGCGAGGGGCGGAAGGAGAGAAAGATCTTTTCTGCCGTGGTAAGAAAAATACCCACAAATAAACGGGCGTTGTCACATTTCTGGATGAAATGTTTACTTTTCAAGCAAAGCTACTTACTAGATATTCTTACTCCAGAGGAAACGTATCGATGGGGGCCGTTTTTGGGACCACCCTTTACATTTTGCAGAAATGAACCAAGAGCACTCCAATGATGCTGGGATTGTGCAACTTACATTCTTCGCAAAGAATTGCTGAAATCATGCAAAAAATTTGATCTACAGGGGTAATTTTCGTCTTGAATTCATAGTTTTTTGGGAGTAAAGATAAAACTTGTGTAGATGATCGGTTTATACTCGCAAGGTAAAAAAATTGCGCAATCTTAACAACATTGGAATGCTCTTGGTTCTTTTTAGGGAAATGTAATCCAATTTACCCAAATCAACGATTTTTTGCTCGTTGAAGGTGAATATTTTACCGGATGTATCTTGGTTTGAGGGGCTTGGAGGACAAAGGCGAATGAGTGCAGTTTTCGAAAAAATTGAGATATCAATGATTTCAAGTGAGACTAGTCTTAATACATATTCTGTGAATAATTCTCTCCCAAATTCAAAATTATAAGCATTAAAAAGTCGGTTTGAACTTTCTGTCCGCCATAGGGGTCCATGTAATTTTGAAACTTCAAACACGTGTTTCTCGAAAGAGCAAAAACTGCCCGTGTGCGCCTTGTTCTCAAAGCCCCTCATATGGTCTTTTTCGGGTCTGCTAGGTACTACTCTGCGAACATGGGTTTTGGTGAAAAATGCAGGTTTCGCGGGTCTGCGGCTGAATGCCGAATATTTCGCTCCTATTCACCGGAATAGGCCTTTAGACCAAGTATCTGCAGTATATACCAAGTATCTTTGTTTCCGACGTTGCAGACTTCTTCCCTGGTAAAAATTGGCGATAGGAGCTGCGTTTCAAAATACCATAGGAGTTTTTATGGCCGACTAAAGAAGGCTATAGAAAATCACATAGCTGGCTGAAGAAAGCGGAGCAAATCATATAGCCGGGCTATACGAAGCTATAAAAAAGTATACAGTCGGGCTATAGTTCCTATCGCCGGGCTTCACACTTTATCGCAATTGGCTATACAAGGCTATAAGAAATTGTGTAGAAATTCGTGTGCTTTGGAAATCATAAGTTTTTTACGAAACTACCTTAATGTTTACAAAACACACATTATATTTTCCTTTAAATCTCATTTTTTTTCATCAATTAAAATGAGAATAATCCATACAGAGTGTGCAAATATTTCAGAATCATGAGTTGAAAAACGCTAACTCCGCGAGCCTAAATATTAGAGCCTAACACAAAGCGGAGCGGCGACGCAATGGCGCCTACAAACCTGACAGGGATACTTCACGCATTGCGCAATGCGTGAAGTATCTCTGTTAGGTTTGTAGGCACCAATGCGCGTTTCGGACTCTCTGCCCGCCCGCCGCGCCGCAGCGTGTCACGGCGTCTAAAGCAACTATTTCACACCAGAGGTATTGCATAGTATCATAAGAAATTGAAGACGCTCCAACATATTAAGAATGACAGGCATCCCTCAAAAGCACGGAGCTTTCCTCGCAAAATAAATCAAGATACCACGGCACAAAAAGAGAGCGGTAGTCCAAAAACTAACTAAGTCTTGGTATCCGTATTTAGTAACGTTTAGTATAAACTTTATCGTCTGGCTGTTGCTTAATCGCCATCGGCTATAAAAGGCTATAAGAAATTGTACAGCCGGTTACAGAAGCTATTGGAAATCTTACAGCCGTCTTTAGGTATATAGTATTTTGGAACACAGATTCTACTGCCAAGTTTTACCAGGGTCGTCATACCTTATGAAAAATAGTCAACGGAGTTTCCTAAAAACTGCCATGATTTTTCCTCTCTAGAAGCAGAATATCCTGTATAAGTTTCCAGCTATAAAAATTGGCTTATATACATACGTAAGAGTCGCTCTCACAGAGCTCTCCGGCGTTTTACGACGCCTAACGGCCACAAAACTCGGTCCTCCCACAGGTCATAAGGGAGTTGGCAGTCCCTCCCCTCATGTCATCCATAACCCCCTGTCGCCAAACATTCACCGGGCGTCCATTTCGTCTCCTTCCAGGAGGAACCCAATCAAGCATCTTTTTTGGCAGCCTCTCTTCCGTCATCCTATTGACATGACCGTACCAGACAAGTTGTTTGGCCATGACGTCAAGTACGATGTCATTTTCGTCGAGTTGCCTTATATCTCTCCGAAAAAATAGAATAGAAGCGAAAATTTTGAGACAACGCAAGTTAAATACGTGGTTTCGCACTTTTGAGATCGATTCAATGCATCACGATTAAGGGAGGTTCCAAGAGGCCACGTGGCATCACAGAGAGGATAATGGAGATGTTGCATGTGTGAGGAATTTGCGAATTGACTGTTGATTCTTAAGTAAAAGTTCGCAAAAAACACGATGGTGCCACTGGTTTTCTCTGAAATTAACTCCCAAGCTCAAAAAAAGCTCTCAAGTTGAGGCCAAAATGGAGGGGATATCCCACCCTACCCTGAGAGTCCACGTCTACATCAAGACTAACTCTCCATGCAAAGATAGGGAGCAAATACATTAGCAGGGTTGCCGTGTTTTCAGTTTTAGAGTCCCAAAATAAAGTGGCAGCCCTGTCCATGTATTTGCTCCCTATCTTTGCATGGAGAGTTAGTCTTGATGTAGACGTGGACTCTCAGAGTAGGGTGGGATATCCCCTCCATTTTGGCCTCAACTTGAGAGCTTTTTTTGAGCTTGGGAGTTAATTTCAGAGAAAACCAGTGGCACCATCGTGTTTCTCGCGAACTTTTACATACAAATCAACAGTCAAATCGCTAATTCCTCACACAAGCAACATCTCCATTTTTACGAGATTCGAAAAAATTCATCAGTTTGATGCCGGAAATAGACTCTTGCAAGGTATTACAATGATTTGTCACTGCGAAAAGATTGTATGATTTTCGATATTATTCTTAGGGAGTGACTATGGATACGGCCCCAGGTTAGTCCAGCCTCAGGACCCGCGTTACATAACACAGCACTGGAAAAAAAAAAAAAATACACTTTGGATCTAGAATCCAGACTCTTGCAAACGTTGACAAGAAAAAATACTCTTAATTCAATCACATTTAAGCTTAAATCAAAAGGAAATCCGCTCAAATTAAGAGGCTTGGTTCTTGATTTAAGGTTAAATCTGATTGAATCAAGATTATATTTTCTTGTCGATGTTTTTAAGAGTCTGGACTCTAGATCAATGTGTTTTTTTTTTCCAGTGTGGGACAGATCTAATTATTCCTAGATTATCTACAAAAATCAAGCATCAAAACACGATTCTGTGACTAGCGCAACTGACACTGGAAAAAAAACACATTGGATCTAGAGTCCAGAATCTTGAAAACATTGACAAGAAAAAATACTCTTAATTCAATCAGATTTAAGCTTAAATCCAAAGGAAATCCGCTGAAATTAAGAGGCTTGGTTCTTGATTTAAGCTTCAATCTGATTGAATCAAGATTATATTTTCTTGTGGATGTTTTTAAGAGTCTGGACTCTAGATCCAATGTGTTTTTTTTTCCAGTGGGGGACCGGGGCTGAGGGTGGGGGCTCTTCGAGAGAGGGGGGGGAGGTGTGACTGGCGTCGCCGGAGAATGGGAAGTTAACTGGATAACTGGTCGAAATTGCCGGGCGAGCAGATCAGATGAGATTGTGTCCGGTGCTCAAGTGGACGCGCGCTCAATCCTAGAACGTGAACGGTCGGATCAAATGCACGCGAGTGTTGCAGTGTCGCCAACGACGTCGAAAACGCGCCCGTCGAGTGCCTGCGCCAGTTTGGGCCCCGGCCCCCCGGATATCTCCCGAACGTAGGTTTGAACCCGTGGTCTTCGCTCCTCCGCTCCACGTGCCGCAGGAATGGAGACCACTCCACTGCTCCGCTCGAAATCCGAGACCGGGTTCTATCACACCGAAAGTAAGTGCTCCACGATTCCTTGCGTTCCCGTCGCTTCACGTCTTTCCAGGGGCGATTTTCACTGAAAAAAAAATCTCGGTGTATTTACTAAGAAAAGGGTAAAATTACCAAGAATTAAGGGTTCTATTTGATCCCAGTTTTTTCTTGGTAAAATTACCGTTTAAGGAATTGGTAATTTTACCCAGAAATCTGGGTAAAATTATTGAACTTTCTCGGTAATTTTACTGGACCTTGGTAAAAACGCCAATATTTTTTATCGACTGGGGGTAGATTACCGAGATAAAATGGCAAAGTTACCGGGAATCAATTACCAATAAAAGTGGTATTCTTACCTGAAAAAAAACAGTAAAAATACCGGTTCTTAGGTTAGCTTACCAGTCTGTCTTGGTAAAATTACCAATAATTGGTAAAAAAAGTGAGATGGTAAAGGTACCAGTCGATCTTGGTAAAAACACCGATAATTTTTTTTTCAGTGTCCCGTCGCTTCACGTCTTTCCAGGGGCGGTTTTTTTGGTCATCGCGAAAAAACGCAAGGTAAATGGACGGAGTTAAAAAGAGGGGAACGCCGTAGCGTTCTACCAGCGATTTTCATGATTTTTGCGGCTATCAACAGGCAATTGTCTCTAAATAAGCCCGTTTTATTTAGATTTTGAAAATATGACCCAGGTTTTTTTATATTGCATAGTAAAGTTGCGAATTCTCCCATTTAAACAATGTAATTTTTTATATTTTGTCATAGTTCAATTGAGCGTTCTACGGGGTCAATTTCTATTATTTTTGCGGTTATCTGCAGGCGATAGTCCCCAGGTGAGCCCGTTGTGATCAGAATTTGAAAATAGGACCCAGGTTTTTTTATAGTAGAGGAGACCAGAAAGCTTAGAAAGGGGGGCAAAATTTGAGATTCCCGCCAATGAAAAATGGCGGGAATTTCAAAATATAGCGGGAAATGTTGAATCTTGGTCTGTTAGTAGGATAAGTGAATCGAAGGTATGTTTCTTTGCTACAGACTATCCAAAAGCGACGAAACGCTCCGTTCCGTTTCGTGTAAGTCTTGGTGTGAAGTTTAAAATAAATGCCGATTTTTTTCGTTCGACTCTTATTGGTCCAATTGCTCCCAGCCAGAGATAGATTGGATAAATGAGAGTCGGGTATGAAAATATTTACATTTTTTTTGGTCATTCTTTTGTCGATGCGGGCCTAAGAGAACGCGAAGTGTCCTTTGGGGGTTGGGCCGCATAGCGGCCAGGGGGCATAGCCCCCTAGTATGATTTACATTGTGAGACGGTGTTAAATACTGATTGAAAATAAAATCGTTTCGCACAGCAGTCAAAACAACGTTGATAACGAGAGAGAAGTAGGATGAACTCGGAAAACAATGACGACGAGGCAAATATTTATCGAATCCGTAGTGGCAAAAAATATGTTTAACCTCTGATCTGAAATTAATAAAAACAAGCCGGAAAACTTAGGGAGAGTATCATGACGGAAGAAAAGAATCTCACAAAAAGCTCAGAAAAAAAAAGTCAAAATATATTGCACATTCTATTATGATGGTTCATGTCTCCCTTTTTGAGATTTCAAAAGTGATTTTTTTTTTATGTCAAACCTATTTTTAAATTTGAAAAATAATATTGATTAGGAGTCCCAGGGGAGAACCTCCAGTACCTCAATTTGTCACGGCTTCACAATTAGGTCATATCTTGAAATTATATAGAGCAAGACTGGGAGGAATCGCAGGTCATAATTTTTTCCTTCCACGAATTTCATATAGTTAAAGCAAGCTCTCTCTGAGACCTGAAAAATGATTTACTAGTGTTTAGGTTCATTTTTGAAAAAAACATAGGTAGTAAAATTGCATCATGATCCGACATCGGGAAACGGTAGATTAGGATTTAAAAAAGTGTTTTTTCAAGGAACCATTTTTCTCAACTGCAAACTGTGAGCAACAGGCGCTTTTTGCATCAGAATATTCATAAAACCGATCCCTCACACTCTTAACCGTAATAAAATAACTTGATTAAAAAAAAAAAAAAAAAAAAAAAAAAAAAAAATCCCTCACACTCTGCTGTAAATAACTTTCAGTTTTTGAAGCCCCGTTTTCACGGTCGGAAATATCCGATGCTTTTGTTTTGAACCGCTTTCGACAGGCAGGAAAACTAAAGTAGTCTCATTTCAAACTTTAAAAAAACTGTGCCTAGGCGTTCGAGAGGACTTCAGAGTCGTCAGTTACAAATTCCTAGGAAAATACCGCGCAAAAAAAGTAAATCTATCGAATCAACTGTATTTTTTTCTTCCCTCCCTGTCCATCTCATCTCTTTTTCAATCGTGAGAATTTCCGTGGAAAGCCGCCAGGATCAATTGAGAACAACCGGTTCATTCATTTGTTGACCTTGCTGCGGCGGCCCGATGCGCAGGATCCCGCTAAAACTTTTTGCGCAGTTAGTTGGTCACGCCAGATGGGATGCGTGGCGCCGAACTCGGACCGGCTAATCCTCATTTATCAATATGCCATTTAAACCTATGGTAAAGAATCGATTATTAAGGTGTTCGCTGCGAACACCCTATCTATCGATCTTTTTCCATAGGTTTAAATGGCAGATCGATCGATATATCGCAATTCACGCCACGCCACTGCTTATTCCCCGACAATATTGCATTCTTGCCCTGAAATTAGCCACATACCTTTTCTTAACCATACCTTTGCCGTGAAAATAGCTAAATTTTTTTAAGATACATTCAACTGAAAAGTAACCGCTATTAATGGCAGAACTGCACACTTTTTAGAGAATTTTATCAACATTGGCAAAAATAAATACCCGAAAAGTAATGGAATGACCGTAATTGATCTTGGAGAAAAAAGAAAAAAAAACACGGGTAGAACGCTGGAACTAAGCGTTACCAGATACGCAAAATTCAGGAGGTCTCGGAGCTTATATATATGATCGTGCGTACTTTGGTCTATAATATCTGACAATATTGAGGAAAAATTTGCATAACTTCCTTCCAAAGGGATGTTTTATCAGAGGGAATTTGGCAACTCTCGAATGTTCATACGGCGTTTTTTCTTAGCACGGCAGTATAGGTCTCTGTAAAATTTTTCAAATCTCATTGCACCTTCCTCAAAAAATTGCCGAAATTTCACATATTTTCCATTTATAATAAGAGCCCTTGAAAATTCCGCGCAGTAATCATTGAAATTGGAGTTTTGTCATAAAAGACGCATTTCCTAAATTGAAACGTTGAGACTACCATCTTGAGAACTTTTACGTAGAGTAAAGACGTGACGAGAGAAGTGTTCAGAGCGCAAACTGCAAAATGTCGCAAGACCGCTCAACAGACACGAACATATCGAGCTCATGCAGACCCGTATTCTCTTAAAAGTCAACTCAGCTGAGTTTTGAAATGCCTGTACTTACGTGCGGTGAGATTCACCCGAGAATCGACATGGTCTTAATTGGAAAATACAGGGTGTCTCAAAGTTAAATGCACATATTTTCGGAATCGATTGTTAGGATCAAGACAAGACTCTATTCTCATGTAACGTTTTCCTAAAAAATACCCTCATTTCAGAGTCCATGCTCCTCTTAAGACCCTCCTTGAAAGATAATTCCGGTTCTCTTGAGGTAAGGCACATGCATGTCCATTCATAACTGAGGGGCTTGGAGGACAAAGGCGCATGAAAGCAGTTTTTGAAAATATTGAGATATTAATGAAACCAAGTAAAACTAGTCTCAATGCATTCTCTGTGAAAAATTCGCTCCCAAATTCCAATTTTTAAGCATCAAAAAGTCAGTTTGAACTTTCTTTCCGCCACAAGGATCCATGTGATTTCGAAACTTCAAACATGTATTTCTCGAAATAGCAATAACTGCACTTATGCGTATCGTCCTTCAAGTCTCTCAACTGTAGTCGCACTCAAGAAACAACGGGTTTTTGGCTCAAATTTTAAGCTGGGCCAGTAAATCTGAGGCGGGGATCTTACGAAAAACCGATAGAGAGTAAAAAAGTATTTTGCTGATCCAAAAAATCGATTCTGAAAACAATAGCGTTTAACTTCGAGACACCCTGTACAGTTTTGTATTACCGTCATCAAATTCTTGCACTTGTTAGTCTGTTGATAAGTTGCAAATAATGATGTATGATAATTCTAAGGAGCGCATTAACCCTGTCATCTTATATTCCGAGGACGATCCTCTTGCGTGGTTAGATTACTGCCGTGCTAAGGAAAAACACCGTATGAGCCTTCAGGCGTTGCCAAATTTCCATTGATAAAACGAGAATCCCCTGGTAAACGTATAAATATTTTTCTTCTAATTTTTCAGATAATTTTGTTCGTAATTTTACCGGTAGTTCCTGAAAATTTCGAGGAAAAATATTCATAACTTGCCTAAAAAATGAACATTTTATCGAAGAAAATTTGGCAACGCTCGAATGTTCATGCGGCGTTCTTCTTTAGCATGGCAGAGTACTTGTATGACGAGAGGACGGCAGTACGGGCATGTCTAAATATGGAGCTCTTAGGGGAAGCCAACCTTGTAACACGGAAACAGGCTGGCCATCAAAAATCAGTACTTTTTCATTACATTTCCAAAAAATTCAGTACGCCCTTCAACAGAAATATTCAGTACTTTTTCAGTACCTCCATTTGACGAAATTCGAACAATTTCAAGAATTTGAAAATCTTGCTCAAATTGAGACAAAAATGACAAGACAATGACAAAACTCCGGACCTTTTTCGGAATGACCACAAATTTTCAGTACCTCCGGACCCCCCCTAAAAACTTTTTACTGTTTTTTTTTTCAGGTAAGAACACCACTTTCATTGCTAATCAATTCCCGGTAACTTTGCCATTTTATCTCGGTTATTCTACCACAGTCGATGAAAAATATTGACGTTTTTACCAAGGTCCAGTGAAATTACCGGGAAAGTTTAATAATTTTACCGAGATTTCTGGGTAAAATTACCAATTCCATAAACGGTAATTTTACCAAGAAAAAAC